TCGCGGCAGTCTCGTGCAGAGCCTCAGAAATGAATTTTAAAGTTGAGGGTGGTGCATCAAAAAAAAAATACTCAGCAGGCAGCGGTAGTAATTATTCCTGGTAGGTATCATTCTTTGGATGAAAATAAAGCGTTTCTATCATGTTTGATCGCGGCAGTCCTGTGCAGAGCCCCAGAAACGAATTTTGAAGTTCGAGGGTGGTGCATCGAAAAAAAAAAATACTCAGCAGGCAGAGGTAGTGATTATTCCTAGTAGGTATCATTCTTTGGATGAAAATAAAGCGTTTCTATCATGTTTGATCGCGGCAGTCTCGTGCAGAGCCTCAGAAATGAATTTTAAAGTTGAGGGTGGTGCATTGAAAAAAAATACTCAGCAGGCAGAGGTAGTGATTATTCCTGGTAGGTATCATTCTTTGGATGAAAATGAAGCGTTTCTATCATGTTTGATCGCGGCAGTCTCGTGCAGAGCCTCAGAAATGAATTTTAAAGTTGAGGGTGGTGCATTGAAAAAAAATACTCAGCAGGCAGAGGTAGTGATTATTCCTGGTAGGTATCATTCTTTGGATGAAAATGAAGCGTTTCTATCATGTTTGATCGCGGCAGTCTCGTGCAGAGCCTCAGAAATGAATTTTAAAGTTGAGGGTGGTGCATCAAAAAAAAAATACTCAGCAGGCTGCGGTAGTAATTATTCCTGGTAGGTATCATTCTTTGGATGAAAATAAAGCGTTTCTATCATGTTTGATCGCGGCAGTCCTGTGCAGAGCCCCAGAAACGAATTTTGAAGTTCGAGGGTGGTGCATCGAAAAAAAAAAAATACTCAGCTGGCAGAGGTAGTGATTATTCCTAGTAGGTATCATTCTTTGGATGAAAATAAAGCGTTTCTATCATGTTTGATCGCGGCAGTCTCGTGCAGAGCCTCAGAAATGAATTTTAAAGTTGAGGGTGGTGCATTGAAAAAAAATACTCAGCAGGCAGAGGTAGTGATTATTCCTGGTAGGTATCATTCTTTGGATGAAAATAAAGCGTTTCTATCATGTTTGATCGCGGCAGTCTCGTGCAGAGCCTCAGAAATGAATTTTAAAGTTGAGGGTGGTGCATCAAAAAAAAAATACTCAGCAGGCAGCGGTAGTAATTATTCCTGGTAGGTATCATTCTTTGGATGAAAATAAAGCGTTTCTATCATGTTTGATCGCGGCAGTCCTGTGCAGAGCCCCAGAAACGAATTTTGAAGTTCGAGGGTGGTGCATCGAAAAAAAAAAATACTCAGCTGGCAGAGGTAGTGATTATTCCTAGTAGGTATCATTCTTTGGATGAAAATAAAGCGTTTCTATCATGTTTGATCGCGGCAGTCTCGTGCAGAGCCTCAGAAATGAATTTTAAAGTTGAGGGTGGTGCATTGAAAAAAAATACTCAGCAGGCAGAGGTAGTGATTATTCCTGGTAGGTATCATTCTTTGGATGAAAATAAAGCGTTTCTATCATGTTTGATCGCGGCAGTCTCGTGCAGAGCCTCAGAAATGAATTTTAAAGTTGAGGGTGGTGCATCGAAAAAAAAAAAAATACTCAGCAGGCAGCGGTAGTAATTATTCCTGGTAGGTATCATTCTTTGGATGAAAATAAAGCGTTTCTATCATGTTTGATCGCGGCAGTCCCGTGCAGAGCCTCAGAAATGAATTTTGAAGTTCGAGGGTGGTGCATTGAAAAAAAATACTCAGCAGGCAGAGGTAGTGATTATTCCTGGTAGGTATCATTCTTTGGATGAAAATAAAGCGTTTCTATCATGTTTGATCGCGGCAGTCCCGTGCAGAGCCTCAGAAATGAATTTTGAAGTTCGAGGGTGGTGCATTGAAAAAAAATACTCAGCAGGCAGAGGTAGTGATTATTCCTGGTAGGTATCATTCTTTGGATGAAAATAAAGCGTTTCTATCATGTTTGATCGCGGCAGTCCCGTGCAGAGCCTCAGAAATGAATTTTAAAGTTGAGGGTGGTGCATCAAAAAAAAAATACTCAGCAGGCAGCGGTAGTAATTATTCCTGGTAGGTATCATTCTTTGGATGAAAATAAAGCGTTTCTATCATGTTTGATCGCGGCAGTCCTGTGCAGAGCCCCAGAAACGAATTTTGAAGTTCGAGGGTGGTGCATCGAAAAAAAAAATACTCAGCTGGCAGAGGTAGTGATTATTCCTAGTAGGTATCATTCTTTGGATGAAAATAAAGCGTTTCTATCATGTTTGATCGCGGCAGTCTCGTGCAGAGCCTCAGAAATGAATTTTAAAGTTGAGGGTGGTGCATTGAAAAAAAATACTCAGCAGGCAGAGGTAGTGATTATTCCTGGTAGGTATCATTCTTTGGATGAATATGAAGCGTTTCTATCATGTTTGATCGCGGCAGTCTCGTGCAGAGCCTCAGAAATGAATTTTAAAGTTGAGGGTGGTGCATCGAAAAAAAAAAAAAATACTCAGCAGGCAGCGGTAGTAATTATTCCTGGTAGGTATCATTCTTTGGATGAAAATAAAGCGTTTCTATCATGTTTGATCGCGGCAGTCCCGTGCAGAGCCTCAGAAATGAATTTTGAAGTTCGAGAGTGGTGCATTGAAAAAAAATACTCAGCAGGCAGAGGTAGTGATTATTCCTGGTAGGTATCATTCTTTGGATGAAAATAAAGCGTTTCTATCATGTTTGATCGCGGCAGTCCCGTGCAGAGCCTCAGAAATGAATTTTGAAGTTCGAGGGTGGTGCATTGAAAAAAAATACTCAGCAGGCAGAGGTAGTGATTATTCCTGGTAGGTATCATTCTTTGGATGAAAATAAAGCGTTTCTATCATGTTTGATCGCGGCAGTCCCGTGCAGAGCCTCAGAAATGAATTTTAAAGTTGAGGGTGGTGCATCAAAAAAAAATACTCAGCAGGCAGCGGTAGTAATTATTCCTGGTAGGTATCATTCTTTGGATGAAAATAAAGCGTTTCTATCATGTTTGATCGCGGCAGTCCTGTGCAGAGCCCCAGAAACGAATTTTGAAGTTCGAGGGTGGTGCATCGAAAAAAAAAAAAATACTCAGCTGGCAGAGGTAGTGATTATTCCTAGTAGGTATCATTCTTTGGATGAAAATAAAGCGTTTCTATCATGTTTGATCGCGGCAGTCTCGTGCAGAGCCTCAGAAATGAATTTTAAAGTTGAGGGTGGTGCATTGAAAAAAAATACTCAGCAGGCAGAGGTAGTGATTATTCCTGGTAGGTATCATTCTTTGGATGAAAATAAAGCGTTTCTATCATGTTTGATCGCGGCAGTCTCGTGCAGAGCCTCAGAAATGAATTTTAAAGTTGAGGGTGGTGCATCGAAAAAAAAAATACTCAGCAGGCAGCGGTAGTAATTATTCCTGGTAGGTATCATTCTTTGGATGAAAATAAAGCGTTTCTATCATGTTTGATCGCGGCAGTCCCGTGCAGAGCCTCAGAAATGAATTTTGAAGTTCGAGGGTGGTGCATTGAAAAAAAATACTCAGCAGGCAGAGGTAGTGATTATTCCTGGTAGGTATCATTCTTTGGATGAAAATAAAGCGTTTCTATCATGTTTGATCGCGGCAGTCCCGTGCAGAGCCTCAGAAATGAATTTTAAAGTTGAGGGTGGTGCATCGAAAAAAAAAAATACTCAGCAGGCAGAGGTAGTGATTATTCCTAGTAGGTATATCATTCTTTGGATGAAAATAAAGCGTTTCTATCATGTTTGATCGCGGCAGTCTCGTGCAGAGCCTCAGAAATGAATTTTAAAGTTGAGGGTGGTGCATCGAAAAAAAAAATACTCAGCAGGCAGCGGTAGTAATTATTCCTGGTAGGTATCATTCTTTGGATGAAGATAAAGCGTTTCTATCATGTTTGATCGCGGCAGTCTCGTGCAGAGCCTCAGAAATGAATTTTAAAGTTGAGAGTGGTGCATCGAAAAAAAAATACTCAGCAGGCAGAGGTAGTGATTATTCCTGGTAGGTATCATTCTTTGGATGAAAATGAAGCGTTTCTATCATGTTTGATCGCGGCAGTCTCGTGCAGAGCCTCAGAAATGAATTTTAAAGTTGAGGGTGGTGCATCGAAAAAAAAATACTCAGCAGGCAGCGGTAGTAATTATTCCTGGTAGGTATCATTCTTTGGATGAAAATAAAGCCTTTCTATCATGTTTGATCGCGGCAGTCCTGTGCAGAGCCTCAGAAATGAATTTTGAAGTTCGAGGGTGGTGCATCGAAAAAAAATACTCGGCATGCAGAGGTATATATGGTGATTATTCCTGGTAGAAATCATATTCTTTAGAAGGAATTAATGCGTTTTCATCATGTTTGATAGCGGCAGTCCTAGGGCCAATGAGCCCAGCTCTAAGAATATATATATTAATTTTCTTAATTAATAATGCGTTGTGTTACACCACCACATACTTTTGTCAAGGAGAAAATATTAAGTAAATACTAGGTGTTCATATATCTATGTTTATTCCACAATAACTGTAATAATTGTTATGTGAATAGGAATCATAATATCTCATTGCAATAATTTTACAGACAGAAAAATATTTTCGAGGTCAGCCACTGTTCATTCGAGATCTTTTGGAAATTCAGCTGCCAATGGTCTGCCAAGTTCACACCCTGAAAAAAATATCTGGTGCGCCACTGGTCCTTCGGGTAACTTCGGAAATTTTGGCCGCTGGCCTGGTCTGCCAGATTCACACCGGTACAAATAAAACGCAACAACTGTCTTTGTTTTGTGACGTTTGTTGTCACTTGTCAGTTGTGGCAGTTGTTGTTTTTGTTGTTGCGTTGTGGTTTGTGGTGTCAACTGTCAACTTATAAAATAAACATTCCAGTTGTGTAGTTGGGTGTTGGGTTGAACTCTAGCCAAAAATAAAATGTGAAATATTCTTTTGGTTAATGAAATCCAGAATAAAAAAAATCAGTGTAATCACTACTATCTAGTTCAGCATAATATTAGTTTATCAGCAAATTTGACTTTTCAGCTACTACTATGAATATTGTTTCAAGAGTAACCAACAAGTTACCTAATATTCAAATTCTTTCAAAAAACACCAAATTCAAATTGTATTCCCAGGCGGATCTACAGGTGCAAAGTAAGTTTGCATATCAATCTACATCTTAACTATAATATAATAATAGATAATCTTAACTAATAACTAGTAATGATTTTTTTTGAATTCTACAGAACATCTAAAAAAACCTCCACATTATCTTGATTTTTGTAAAGAGTTCACAGATGGTGGAGACTCTGAATTATTACAACAAAACATGATTAATAGCATGACAGTGCATAATGACTTTCTCAGTGAAAATGAGGAGCAATCAATTTTAGATGAAATAGAGCCATACATGAAGAGATTGCATTATGAATTTGATCATTGGGATGATGTAAGTTATAAGCAAGAGCATCAATTGAAATGTTTTGAAGTGTATAATCATTGAAGGCCATACATGGTTATAGAGAAACAGAAAGACTGAAATGGAATGAGCAGAACACAAAAATTATAGATAGGGTTCGCAGAAAAGCCTTTCCTCCTAATGTAGCCCAATTGAAATTTGTACATATTCTAGATTTAGAGAAGAATGGTTATATCAAACCCCATATAGATGCAGTGAGGGTGAGTGAGATTCAGGAAATCGTTCTTGGTATGATTTTATGTTGCATTGTTTTTTCCAGTTTTGTGGTGATACCATTGCTGGATTAAGCCTACTTTCTGATAGTGTAATGAGACTGGTTCATGATAAGAATAAGACATTATTTGCTGATATCTTGCTCAAGAGGAGGTCTTTATATATAATGAAAGATAGTGCTCGTTTTGATTATAAACATGAAATTCTAAACAATGAGAACAGTATTTTCAAAGGAGAAAGAGTATTGAAGGAGAGAAGAATATCTGTGATTTGTAGAAATCAACCAGATCCTGGAAAGAAGAATTCATGAACATTTGATTTACTATGACAGTATTATCAAAGAACTGAAAAAAAATTATTGTAAACCTATCAAGTTATCAGAATATAATTCTTTTATCTCAGTTTTATTATTCACTGGGGAAATATAATTTGCTGACCAAGATTATTAAAGTATGCTGACCAAGCATTTCCGGTTAGAATTTTTCCTTCAAATTGCATATTTGAATATTACATATGAATAATGCCACCAGTGGAATTATTTAGATCCGCCCTTTCAGAGCGGTAGTTTATTCTTGCAGTTTTTCAAAAATCCTTGCTGACCGAGCATTTCTGGCTGGTATTTTTCTATCAAATTACATATTTGGATATCTCATATAGATTTATAGATGCCACCAGTGGAATTATTTCGATCTACCCCTTCAGAGGGGTAGTTTAATTTTTCTGTTTTCCAAAAATCTTTGCTCACCGAGCATTTCTGGTCTGTATTTTTTAATTAAATCACATATCTTAATATCTCATATAGATATACAGGGTGTTCATTTCAGGACTTCCCACCCTAATTTTCTCGAAATGTGTGTATGTTTTTGAAAAATCCCGAGACACGTCAACTACATTTTCGAGGGACATGGTTCTAAAATATTTTCAGCCCCGCGGCGTTGCCGCTTCTAACGAAAAGAAGCAACAACTTTGTTATTTCAAATGGAACACCCTGTATTTTATTGCATTTTTAGATTCTCCCTGAAAAGCTGATTTCATCAATGTATCACACTTGGGGTCTAGCAGGAATGATTACAGAGATATAGGGTGTTCAAAATCGAGATTTTACAACTTTAGGATTTTTTTGAGTCGAAACTATTCATTATTGGTCAAAACGGCTTTTATGTCCCTATCTCAACTTTTGATTTACTATCTACTGACATTTATTTGAAACAAATACAGGTTGGTTCAAGATTCAGACTTTTGTCCTAGAATTTTCTGCAATAGAATTTCAGATTTTGCATTCCAGTTAGAGAAGTTTGTTTAAAATGAAAACATTTTTCCTGTGTTTTTCCTAGTTTTAATTATAATGGTGTTCAAAAAATTCAATCTAATTTTGCAACTGAATTTCATTTGGTATGGAAGCTTTCGGTCATTCTATTTTCCAATAAAATGTTTAAGAAATGTCAAATAAGTGTGTTTGAGAAATAACGGTTTTATTACAAGTAATTTATTTTTTGGCATTTATCTCGAGATCCATACAGTTTTCGAAAAATTTACATAGGGGCAAAAAGTTTCCAAATTGAAAGGAAAATCTGAATCTATGTCCCATTGAAAGCAGAGACGGCACGCAAAAAATTTCTACAGGGTTGACGACATCCTGAAAGTCTATCACCCAGTAGGTATTCAAAAACGCTCAATAGCCTCAAATATTAAGTTTTTGAAGTTTATCAGGTTTACTGAATTTCAATCAATTATCTCGAAAATTGTAGGCGAAAATTCAAAAAACTCTGAAACTTTGACACCCTGTAGATCGGAAACGGAGCTTCCACGCATGTATGTTTGTATGAGATTTTCATATTGAAAAATTGTCTTCTTCAAACTGTTGAAGTCCTGCTACAAAAAACTGAAACACCCTGTATATATAATATATTCGAATATGCAATTTGAAGAAGAAATTCGCATCAGAAATGCTCGTTCAGCAAGGATTTTCGAAAAACTGCAAGAATAATCTACCCACCTGGAAGGGTGGATCAAAATATTCCTACTGGTGGCATCAATAAATCTATATGAGATATTCAAAGATGAAATTTGATGGAAAAATACTAACCAGAAATGTTCAGTCAGCAAGGATTTTTGAATACTTCTAAGATTCAAATACTTATCAGAGTACTTATTATTTGATCCAGTACAAAGAATAATCTATGACCTATAATAGAGTCTACAATAATCACATACAATAGAAGTTAATATTACCAAATAATCCAATAATATTACCAAATAATCAAATACTGAATACCTAGTTTTATGACAGAATTACAGATTTCCCTTTGTAATAGAGTACCCTATCACTATTATTTACTAGCACCAGCATGCTGTTGCTATTGTCATTTCAAATTCACCGGAATCAATGTTACCAGGTGGCGCTCGGTTTCCATCGTTCCATGTCGAAAATGGGGGAAAACAAACTCAATCCCATTAGTGCCATTAGCTTGTGTACTGTGTACTGATAAGAGTGATAACACTTTATGTCAATATGACAAGTTTGACAACTACAGCTACAGCAAGATGTATGCAATATAGTCTATGCACTTTATCCATAGACAACAGTTTGTTTTCCCCCAGTTTGAAGTTCGTACTATGTAACCTAGATGTCGCCCACTTTGTGAATCTCGCGAATACTTTTAAACAGGTGTCAGCTGTAATGAATGAGATCAACAGGGGCAGGCCGCAGTGACGATGTCCATGAAACTGTTTCAAATCGAATGAGAAATGAAAATATTATCAATTTTACGATTTAATCTGCTATAATAAATAGTAACCACTTCACTTAACAAGATCGGATAGTTGTCTGATTTTGTAGCATCCATTCCACCCCTTTTTCACCCTCTTCTCAATATAATTCAAATTCTAGAGGTAAGGCATGAATTTTTGCAATATTTCTTTCTTGAAACAGATGCCAGAAAGCTTCCTGAACACGATCAGATAGTTGTCTGATTCTGTAGCATCCATTCCACCCCTCTTTCACCTTCTCAATTTATTTCAAATTCCAACTTAGAGCTTTGGAAAGTATTTTTGAAAAAAATTTCTCTTTTTTATTTTCTTCTTTTTTTTTATCGCTTGGAGCGCACGAAAGGGAATCCCTATAATGTTCAAAGAACATCGTGCGTTCCTAGGGAGGATAGGGACAGGATTTTTTTTTGAACTTTTGGAGATTATATGTTGTTGGGAAATACTTCAGAAAGTTGTCTGATTTTGTAGCATCTATTCCACCCTCCTCACACCCTCTTATCAATATAATTCGAAGTCCAACTTTGTGGTCAGGAATTAATTTTTGCAATATTTTTTAATTGAAACAGATGTCAAATAGCTTCCTGAACTCGATCAGATAGAGTTGTCTTATTTTGTAGCATCCATTCGACCCCTCATCGTTCGTCCCAGGGACATTCACTTTCCGACAAAAAGGACATCCCAAGGGATGTCCTTCTGGTACGGCCCTGGGATGTACCAAGTACGAAGAAAGGATATCCCTAGGACGTCCCAAGAATATTTCAGGGGCATCCCTTCAACAAAAGAGTACGGATTGATCCCAGGACCTTTAACTTATCAGGCACGCACCTTACTCCATTGGCTAATATTCCTTCTGAAGACTTATGTACTAAACAGATTTATAAACAGTACAAAACTGAAACCTGATTAAAAATACAACTTTGTCAGGATTTCATGTATAATTATTATCATTCCTGGGTGTTTGAAAATGAGGGGCATTATGCATTTACGATTTCTGTTTGCGAAAAATGGTCATTTCTTGAGAAGTTTTTTTTTATCGCTTGAAGCGCACGAAAGGAAACCCCTATAATGTTCAAAGAACTTCGTGCGTTCCTAGGGAGGATATAGGGATAGGAGGTAGGTATTGGAATTTTTTTTGAACTTCTGGAGATTATATGTTGTTGGGAATACTTCCTCAGGCAATGAATTCCAGAGCCTTGCCGTTCTATGGATGAAGGAGTTTTGATAAAGTGCTGATGTTCGACATCTTCCGAGGTTGACACCAAAAGGATGTGCTGACTGGGCTTGTCTTGTTCGTCTGACTATGGTATTGCTAGTGAAGGGATGATAGCAGAGATTTCCGAAGAACACTTTCCGTGGAAGTATCGATAGAAAAGTGGAAGGTCGCCGACCTTTCTACGGTGTTCTAATGATGTCAAAGAGTGAGTGAGTGTGGCGTCACTCACCATCAGGCGAATGGCTTTTCTCTGGATGGAATCTAAGAGCATCAGCGTATGTTTTGGTGCTGAACCCCATATGTGGGAACAGTTTTCTAGAACAGGCCGTATATCTGCGCTTTGTAGATCATGATATGAGCTGTTGAGGTGTAAAGTAGCTTTTCGCACGGAACAAAAATCCGAGTTTTTGTGAAGCAGCTTTTGCGATGGATCTGACATGATTATCCTATGAAAGAGTGTTCCTGAAATACCGAGCATAGATAGGGTGGGCTTGGTGGGGATGGTGGTGCCAGACATTACAATGTTGGGCATACTGAGTTCCGCCTTTCTAGAGAAAATACAGGCTTGAGTTTTGGTGGCGTTGAATTCAACTAGGTTTGTTATGGTTCCCCAGGCTGTGATTTCAGCAAGTTCTTCATTGACAGCATTGACCTGCCTGCGCCGTGAGTTCTTAGTTTTCTGGAAAGATATGGGAATTCTGGAAGAGAACGCGGCAGTATGGAGGGTACTATCATCTGCAAAGCGGTGGATGGGGCAAGTTGTTACTCCCAACAGATCATTGATATGAAGAAGGAATAATGTTGGTGCCAAAATTGATCCTTGTGGAACGCCGGAATTGAGACTATATTCGCTTTATTTTCATTACAATTATTTTCCGGAAGAAAAACAAACATTTCCGAACAAATTCAACTCAATATTTTGATTAAATTCAATGACTCTGATGTGAATGGATATCAGACATTCCAGGGACATGAATAGGATAACCTAGGGATGTACTGGGCGGGATATCCCCTGGAAGCCCCAATCGTGTCCTTGTACCGCGGGACAAAAAAGGGACGTACATATAGGACATTCCTGTGTTGTTAGGGAATATGCTCATGGAACAATCTTCTTTGATGGAACAAACCCTCTTCACATCATATGGCAAATCATTGGATTGTGTCAATCCTTTGAAACAAATGGAATTTTCTCCCAATCTCTTACTCCTCGGTGGATTGAAAAAGTGTTCTTTCTGTCTGGTATTATTATTATGCATTTCTTTTTTATAAGTAAGCTTGTTTATCAAATAGTTCTGTGCTTCGCCTCTTTCTATTTTAAAAATGAATAC